GACTACCAACCAAGAAAAGCCCAGGACCGGATGGGTATACAGCGGAGTTTTACAAAACCTTTAAAGAAGAATTAATACCAATACTTTTCAAGTTATTTCAGGAAATAGAAAAAGAGGGAGCTCTTCCAAATTCATTCCATGAGGCCAAAATCACCCTGATTCCAAAACCAGACAAAGAAACCTCAAAGAAAGAAAACTAAAGACCAATATCCCTAATGAACCTAGAGGCAAAAATCCTCAATAAAATTCTGGCGAATCGGATACAAAAACACATCAAAAAAATTGTGCACCATGATCAAGTAGGATTCATCCCTGGGATGCAAGGATGATTCAATATACACAAATCAATAAATGTTATTCACCACATCAATAGACTTAAAGATAAGAACCATATGATCATCTCAATAGACGCAGAAAAAGCATTCGACAAAGTACAGCATCTCTTTATGTTCAAAACATTAGAAAAACTAGGGATAACAGGAACTTACCTCAACATTATAAAAGCTATCTATGCTAAGCCTCAGGCTAGCATCATTCTGAATGGAGAAAAATTGAAGGCATTCCCTCTAAAATCTGGAACAAGACAGGGATGCCCTCTATCACCACTTCTATTCAATATAGTTCTCGAAACACTGGCCAGAGCAATTAGACAGACAAAAGAAATTAAAGGCATAAAAATAGGAAAAGAAGAACTTAAATTATCACTATTTGCACACAACATGATTCTATACCTAGAAGACCCAAAAGGGTCTACAAAAAAACTACTAGAACTAATAAATGAATTCAGCAAAGTGGCAGGATATAAAATCAACACGCATAAATCAAAGGCATTTCTGTATATCAGCGACAAAACTTCTGAAACGGAAATGAGGAAAAACACTCCATTCACAATATCCTCAAAAAAAAAATAAAATACTTGGGAATCAACTTAACAAAAGAGGTGAAAGATTTATACAATGAAAAGTACAGAACCCTAAAGAGAGAAATAGAAGAAGATTTTAGAAGATGGAAAAATATACCCTGTTCTTGGATAGGAAGAACTAACATCATCAAAATGGCGATATTACCAAAAGTTCTCTATAGGTTTAATGCAATGCCAATCAAAATCCCAACGGCATTTCTTGTAGAAATAGATAAAGCAATCATGAAATTCATATGGAAAAATAAAAGACCCAGAATAGCAAAAGCAACTCTAAGCAGGAAGTGTGAATCAGGCGGTATAGCGATACCAGATTTCAAACTATATTACAGAGCAATAGTAACAAAAACAGCATGGTACTGGTACCAAAACAGGCGGGTGGACCAATGGTACAGAATAGAGGACACAGAGACTAATCCACAAAGTTACAACTATCTTATATTTGATAAAGGGGCTAAAAGCACGCAATGGAGGAAGGGTAGCATCTTCAACAAATGGTGTTGGGAAAACTGGAAATCCATATGCAACAAAATGAAACTGAATCCCCTTCTCTCGCCATGCACAAAAGTTAACTCAAAATGGATCAAGGAGCTTGACATCAAATCAGAGACTCTGCGTCGGAGAGAAGAAAAAGTGGGCTCCGATCTACATATTGTGGGGTCGGGCTCCAAATTCCTTAATAGGACACCCATAGCACAAGAGTTAATAACAAGAATCAACAAATGGGACTTACTTAAATTAAAAAGTTTTTTCTCAGCAAGAGAAACAATAAGAGAGGTAAATAGGGAGCCTACATCCTGGGAACAAATTTTTAATCCTCACACTTCAGATAGAGCCCTAATATCCAGAGTATACAAAGAACTCAAAAAACTAGACAATTAGATAACAAATAACCCAATCAACAAATGGGCCAAGGACCTGAACAGACACTTCTCAGAGGAGGACATACAATCAATCAAAAAGTACATGAAAAAATGCTCACCATCTCTAGCAGTCAGAGAAATGCAAATCAAAACCACCCTAAGATACCAGTAAGATTGGCAGCCATTCTGAAGTCAAACAACAACAAGTGCTGGGGAGGATGTGGGGAAAAGGGTACTCTTGTACATTGCTGGTGGGACTGCAAATTGGTGCGGCCAATTTGGAAAGAAGTATGGAGATTCCTGGAAAATCTGGGAATGGAACCACCATTTGACCCAGCTATTGCCCTTCTTGGACTATTCCCTGAAGACCTTAAAAGAGCGTACTACAGGGATACTGCCACATCGATGTTCATAGCAGCACAATTCACAATAGCAAGACTGTGGAACCAACCCAGATGCCCTTCAATAGATGAATGGATTAAAAAAATGTGGCATTTATACACCATGGAGTATTACACAGCACTAAAAAATGACAAAATCATGGAATTTGCAGGGAAATGGATGGCACTAGAGCAGATTATGCTAAGTGAAGCTAGCCAATGCCTAAAAAACAAATGCCAAATGTCTTCTTTGATATAATCAGAGCAACTAAGAACAGAGCAGAGAGGAAGAGCAGGAGGAAAAGATTAAACAGAGACATGAGGTGGGAGGGAAAGGGAGAGAAAAGGGATATTGCATGGAAATGGAAGGAGAACCTCATTGTTATACAAAATTACATATAAGAGGTTGTGAGGGGAATGGGAAAAAAACAAGGAGAGAAATGAATTACAGTAGATGGGGTAGAGAGAGAAGATGGGAGGGGAGGGGAGGGGGGATAGTAGAGGATAGGAAAGGTAGCAGAATACAACAGTTACTAGTATGGCATTATGTAAAAATGTGGATGTGTAACTGATGTGATTCTGCAATCTGTATTTGGGGTAAAAATGGGAGTTCATAACCCACTTGAATCTAATGTATGAAATATGATATGTCAAGAGCTTTGTAATGTTTTGAACAACCAATAAGAAAAAAAAAAAAAAAGACCTAGTGGGAGGGCTTGAGGTCAGTGGGGGCGAGTCCTCAAAGACTGTAGTAGGACCACAGGCCCTTCCTCTTCCTCTCTTTTCTTCCCAACCCTGAGGAGAATGGCCTTCTTTTCGGATTCCTCTCACGGCGATGTGCTGTGCCACCACAGGCCTAAAGCCATGAGGCCAATTGGCCAAAGGCTGATACCTTTCCTCTTTATAGGCTGATTTATCTAAGATATGTAGCAGGAAGCTGACCACACAAGCAACACGCTACGGGAGTGATGAAGAGAGGAACAGGAATGGCCGCCAGCTGGAAACATCCTCCTGACACAGCAGCTATTTTCAATAATGTGATTATTCATATTTTTTGTGGGATATATCCTATAAATAATTTAGCATTGTAGGTATCACCACAACAGTCCTTAGGGATACAACTGTGAACAAGAAAGGCAAACTAGTTTCCCTGTACCACAATGCCTGAATATGATTTCTTTCTCTCTCTTTTTTTTTTCCTTTTTACAACACTCAAAGTCTTTCTTTAATTGCTCAGATATTTATTGGACATGTTATTTCTGTGAATAAAGCTCAAGAATAAACAACATTAGTGACAAACAACCTAAGCAAGAACTTCCTTGTCAACTAGATCAAAGGAGGTCACAATTTGAAAACAGGAAGGAAATAGAAAAAGAATGGATAAATTTTACCTTGTTCTTTATTAATTCATTTACTTAACACAGATCAGGTGTCTGCAATGTGTAAGGAGATGTGCTAAGTGCCAAAGGAGACATAAGAATGAACTAAGACAGAATAAAGCAACTATCTTCCAGGTCCTACCCATGTTCCTCTGGTTGAATCCTGACATTCCTGATTCAGACTGACTTTGGGCTTAAATCTGGTTTCTACTGTGAACTTCACCAAGCTACCTAAGATCACTAAGCATCAACTTCCCAGTCTACAAGTGGAGATGATGTCGTGGGGCTAAATCAGATGCATGCAAATCATTCAAGACTGTGCCATATATAACAATTAGCAGCCACTGCATGCTCCCATCACTGTCACTCCACTTCTTTAACCATGCACATTCCTTCTTTTTTGGGGGAAGAGGTGGAGGTACTGGGGATTGAACTCAGGGCCACTTGACTACTAAGCCACATCCCCAGCTGTATTTTGTATTTTTTAATGTAGAGACAGGGTCTCATTGAGTCGCTTAGAGCCTCACTCTTGCAGAGACTGGCTTTGAACTCTTGATCCTCAAGCCTTAGCCTCCTGAGCCACTGGGATTACAGGCATGTGCCACCACCGTGCCTGGCTTGCACATTCCTTCTTTCTTCTTCACACCTACTGTTCCTAACTTAGATTGCTATCTTACAAAATAAACATTCACAAAAATTGAACCACCACATTATCCAGGCAGAGCAACAGGCTTCTCCCAGTATAAGATGTACAATTTCTTGCCTTCTACCCCTGCTTATGCTCCTCCATTTAGCCCGGACTCCACCCCACTTCATCTACCTGGTAAAAATTCAATCCATCTTTCATCATGGAGCCCAAACACCTCCACAAAGCTTTCCTTGAAATCACTACTTTACTTGCTTTGGAGTTCCCATTGAACTTTTTTTTTTTTTTTTTTAAAGAGAGAGAATTTTTTAATATTTATTTTTTAGTTTTCAGTGGACACAACATCTTATTTTATTTTTATGTGATGCTGAGGATCAAACCCCGCGCCCCGCGCATGCCAGGCGAGCGTGTTACCGCTTGAGCCACATCCCCAGCCCTGCATTGAGCTTTTAACACTTAATGCTTCTCTTTCCTCCCATAAGTCATGTTTTTCCTAAAACAAGATTTTGTATATCAAAATATTCTTAATTCCAAGTGAGATGCATGTTATGAAAAATGATGGGCATATTAAAACTCTGTCTTTTTTTCCCCAGAAAATAATCACTGCCTAAGACTACGGATATCACTCTGTTATTCTAATTGAACACTAAATCACAGAATCTACTCACAAATATTCTAAAAATGTCATAACATTTAACTGGCTCACTGAAAAATCTCCACATTGTGAAAACACAACAGGAACAGGAAATATGGTACCAAGCCTCATGCATACTGTTTTGAATGAAAAAGAAGGTTATATAATAATTTTCTTACTTTTCTTTCCTACTGCCCAGTTGACGAGCTGTATATTGATCACCATAGTCAATTAATACTAGTTGTCGAGAAAAGATATTTACTTTGTTGCCTATAAATAAATCTTCTAAGCGCAGGTCATCATATTTGGTCCGCTTTAAAAACGTACGATGATTCTTCACATCATGCTAGAACCAAAAACAATAATACAACAAAATTATAATTATCAATATAGAATGTTAACCTTATCATGAGGTAGAAATAATTCTTACTTCTAGCATATTAAAAGATAGGTTCTTGGGGGCTGGGGTTGTAGCTCAGCGGTAGAGCGCTCGCCTGGCACGTGCGAGGCGCTGGGTTCAATACTTAGCACCACATGAAAATAAATAAAAAATAAATAAAATGAAGGTATTTAAAAAATGTTTTTAAAAAAGGTTATTTTTTGCTGCAAACATAAATCACAATTTTTTTTTAAGGTGGAGGGTTCTGGGGATTGAACTCAGGGGTACTTGACCTCTGACCCACATCCTCAGCCCTATTTTGTATTTAGAGATGGGGTCTCACTGAGTTTCTTAGCACCTCTCTTTTGGTGAGGCTAACTTTGAACTCGCAATCCTCCTGCCACAGGCTCCCAAGTCACTGGGATTACAGACATGCACCACCATACCAAACCCAAATCCCAATTTTGTATATTATAAATTCTGTACTTCCTAATCCAACCTAGTAATAACATAAAAGTGTCTTATTACACATATATCATTCTTAAACAAAGATTTGTTTATGGCCAAATTGTTTCAACAAATTAGTCCTATGAAATCCCAGAGAAGACCAACATGCCCAAATTTCTATTTTCTTGCATATACATTCTTAATACCAAATAGACCTACTTCTTAAAGGGACAATGAAATGGTAAAAAAGGGCCCTCGATCCTCTTCAATTTGACTTTTTGCAGAGATTACAACTTTTGGTGATGATATTTGTGACCATGATACCTTTATCTATAACCACTTATCAGTTATTGCTTAATCCAAAACATGAATAATCCTACTTCAGTTTTCTGATAAAAATATTCCAATTTTTTATATGAAAAATATAGGCATGGAACACGCTGGCTCTCCCACAGAGCCACTTGTTATTTTTATTTATTTTGAGACAGGATCTCACTAAGTTGCCTTGAATCTGAGATTCTCCTGGCACAGACTCTGGAGTTGCTGGGATGATAGGCTGCACCATCTCTGCATGTTAACTGTACAAAAGAATGGGATTCATGGTGATGAGCTCCTATGTATAACTTACCTTGATCAGTATCTGCCCTCTGTCTGTCCCACTCTTCTTCTCCTTTCATCACCTCTGGGTGATCTGATCCCCTTGTAAAGCATTAAATTCTTAACAATCAGATCTATCTCAGATCTTTCCTCCCTCCAGAATCATATTATTACTGCCTAGTGGCTTTTCTGACTTGGATGCCTTGGTAAATGTGACAGATCAAACAAACAAACAAACAAACAAACAGAAGTCCTGGTGTTCTCTCCCTGGACTTGAGTGCAACCCAAACTTTCCATCTAAACAAATTTTTTAAAAAAGAAAAAAATATATATATAAAGGCACAGAATGGGGGAGTATTGCCTAGCATGCATGAGGCCCTGAGGATGATTCCCAGCCACACACACACACACAAACAAACAAAATACAGGCACAAAGTTATCTTCTTGTATCAGTATTATAATGAATAAAAAAAGAATTTATACACACAGAAGTATATTTTTTAAAGCAACTATATAAAAGGTAACTCTATTCCTCTTCCTGTCTCACGTTCACCTGCTTTGCCTACATTCAAGTAAAAAAAAGGTTCATTTACCATTTCAACAGATCCATCCCCTGGGTAAAACAAAAGCTCATAACGACGAAGAAGTGAAGCATTTGGATCATACCACTCTGCAATGAAAACATATCTCTCACTATGATTCTGGAAAGAAAAACAAAAGAATTTTAGCACTGTAACATAAAACATAAGCACTTGTCATATAAAATGAAAGTGAGAATTTCCAAATATTTGCAAAAAACCAATCTGCTACTATCATACTGAACTATTCTCCTTCCTAACAAAATATCATGCCCTCAGAAATATTTCCTGCTAATTTCTCACTGGATACCTTAGATATTTTAAAGATGAATTATGAACTTTCAATAGGCTTCATCCAATCACCCTAAGTAAATTGACATTTTTTAGAACATGAGTTCCTAATCCAACTACTGTAACAATTCAAGTCCTTCTGAAAGCAAGCTTATACAAACTAACAGTAAACTAATATGAGAAAAAAACTGAGAGATTCAATTACAGGATGTTTTAACTTTCCTAAACTTAAGAATTTAGGAATACTAGAATACTATTGTAATTAAAATTATAGTAAACATTGTTTCTCTCCTTGGTAATTTCACAACAGTATCTTTCTATAGAAATATAAGAGAATGTGTTAGTCTAGAACCTCTGAGAAACAGAAGCCAAGACAGGCTGAACATGCATTTCATTAAAGGAAATTCCTGTGAGAGGGACAGGAAGCCTGGGGGACCTGACAGATCACAACACAAATCTGACTGGACAACAGCAAGGAAGTCTCAAGGAACTCCCTGCTGTGCAGTCTAGGAGGGTTTCAGCAAGTTCACCTGGGAGTGCTCCAGTCAGCTATCTGTTAGAGGAGTGTCCCAAGTCCCAGGGAGGCAGCAGTTCTAGTATCCTTGCTCCTCTGTATCACTGGCTGGGAGCAGCCCCAGGGACAGATCCAAAGCTCAGAAGCAGCAGAGCATAACCATTGGTACCTTTGGTCACTTAAGCTTCCTACAGTTGGAGGTCTAAGAGGTACAATCTGAAGGTTAATTACAGAGAATAAAATTTTAAAGCAAGTCAGAGATTGGCCCCTTTTCCTTGACTATTATGAAGGATTTCCCACTGTGTATGTTAGTAAAAATAGTCCAGCTCCAAAGGTCTTTCATTATAACAAGCAAGTAGCTGCATAAGAAAGAAGGGATATGTGACTGTATGACCAATATGATTTTGCAACCTGTACACTCAGAAAAATGCGAAATTATACCCCATCTGAATCAAATGTATGATATGTCAAGATCATTGTACTGTCATGTGTTACTAATTAAAACAAATAAAAAAATAAAATGCAGCATAAAAAAAAAGAAAGAAGGGAATTGAAGAGTTTTGTTGCTAATTTTGGATTTGCCATTTGATGATCTAGCTGGGTTCTTATTTTTTCTATTAGATTCATAAACTATAATGCAAATGAGCAGTTTTAAGACACTTTTATTTTTCCCACAACCATCCAAAAAAACACATTATCCAATGCTTATTAATCAAGAGAAAACAAATGTAAAATAAGACACATTATCACATTTACATATATATATATATATATAGTAGATGGATATATACATGTTGTGTATATGTGTGTATATATACACACACACACACACACACACACACATATATATATATATATGTTGTAGATGGACACAATACCTTTATTTGTTTATTTTTATGTAGTGCTGGGGATCAAACCCAGTGCCTCATGCATGCTAGACAAGTGCTGAACCACTGAGCCACAACCTCAGCCCAAGACACATTATCACATTTTTTAATTATTTTTTTTAATTTATGACACATTATCACATTTGCAAAAGTTTTTCTTCATGGAATTTTTCATATTTATTCTAACAATTCAGGTTGTTTCAGTTGTTTCAGTTTAGGTTTCACTGTATATTTTATCATTGCACTTTCCTTTTAATTAAAACTTTAAATATTTGTTGTTTATTTTTTAAAATCCATAGTAAAATATTCACTCAAACACAATTTAAATCTCTCTCTAAAATAAATGAAATTATAAAATGGAAAAAATTATGATGCATTTGAAAACCAATATAGCAAATGAAAACTTGGTAATTCCATCTCCCCAAGTAGCCTTGCCACCAAACTTGTTGATCTCTGTGAGAGGGACAGGGAAGCCTGGGGGACCTGACGGATCACAACACAAATCTGACTGAAGAACAGCAAGGAAGTCTCAAGGAACTCCCTGCTGTGCAGTCCACAGAGGGTTTTTTCTGAGTTAGGTGGCAGAATTTTGCACAACACACTATCCAGAAAAGTTTTTAATACAAAGAAAATAAATTAAGGAACAAAGCATCTTTATAGCAAACCAATGCTACTTTCTGAGAACAACTAGAAAAGTGGGTACTGAAGATGCTGGAGAGTTTCCAAGGCAGCCAAGGTAGGAGGCACCAAGATCCAGGAAGTCAGGAAGCTCACTTCAGGGAGCCCATCTTTGTGTTGCTTTAACCCTGAGGACTCTAAGAAGCTGGCAGAGGGCTCCTGCCAGGAGGTAGAGGAGCAGGCAGAACATGTAGCAATTTCACAGAGATAAGGACACTAAACCCACATGTGGGCCTTTCAAAGCAGCCGGGACTTAAGAGCAAAGACTCTGAAGAAAAAGGGAGCATGGAATAGTGAACTCAAGCCAGCAGAGCTTTTTGTAATCTCACAGTGATGAGGAAAGAAAAGTTAAAGAGTTTAAACTAAATAAAGAGTTCAAACTAACCAAAGAGAAGACCCCTGGTAAACACTCTAACAGTTTGTTGTGGCTCCAAGAAACTCACCCCTTAGGAGCATGGGTAAACTAGAGGTAAACTAACCCTTACTAAAGTCTGAAAAAGAATTTTGTGTTCACTCAATGCTTAGCCCCTGACCACACTGAGGTACTATTTCCCCATCCCACACCCCTGTGTCTCAAAAACTTCACAACCTTTCATACCTAAAGACCAGTCTCCAGTGATAAACTACCAGACCAGACACACCCCCAAATAAGACCAAGAGGGAAAAGGAAAAAAAAAAGAACGGGCAATAGAAAGAGTCCTGTGAATACCTATATCTATCCAACAAAGGCTTTAGAATAACAATGATAGGTGTAGAAAACACATGTCAGAATGGAGAATTTCACGAGGAAGCCAGAATCCATTTTCTAAAGAAAGTGGAAATTCTAAAAATAACTGCCAACGTAGCATTCTGTAACTAGCAAAAATATCCTTCAAAAACTAAAGATGAAATAAAGTCATTTCTAGATAAAACAGAATCTAAGAAAATTCATAACCAATGTACCTACATTAAAAGAAAGTCTAAAAGAGGTTCTATTTTTTTTAAAGATGTTTTTAGTTGTTGATGAACCTTTATTTATTTATTTATATGTGGTGAACCTAGTGCCTCATACATGCTAGGCAAGCACTCTACCACTGAGCCACAACCCCAGCCCCCCTCTAAAAGAGGTTCTAAAGGAAGAAAGAAAATGTCACCAGTTGATTACAAGAGTTGAAGAAATTAAGAATAATGGGAAAATAACTATGTGGGTAAATATAAATAAATAACGATTACACTAAATAACAATAATGTCTTATAAGGATATAAAATAAGTATAATTTGAATACATGTCAATAAGAATATAGAGGATGTGAGGCATTGACAATGTTCTTCAACTTATGAAAGCAAAGAAAGTATCTTCTAGATCAGTTGTTAACCTGTTCTCCCATCATTAAACTCCAATGCACATCAGTGAACAAGCAGTTCCCCAAAACAACAACAAATCAGGAATGTTCCCTGATACTTTTTATCCTCTCTTCTGTTAAAACATCTTTCCTTCCTTCCTACTCCTCACACTGGGAAGTACTTTTCAGAATATTTAATGAATCAGTAATAAGAAAGTCATTCAAACTTTAAGAAATAAATGATAACCTTGATCTTGACAATAACAATAATAATTTAACAATTTTTGGAGCACCTAGTAAGTGCCAGGTTCATTATATCATTATGATTTTGTTCTCAAACTGATAATATAGATAATATCCCAATTTTACAGACATGAATAGTCAATTCAGAAAATTTGAATAATGGATTAAGGTTACACAACAAAATTCAAACCTTAGTGCTACAGATTTTAACAAAACCCAGGCTTTGTCCCATTAAATAGCACTACATGTAGAAAATTATGTAAAAGTCACTATTAAAGAGAGTATTGATTTAAGGGCCTAAACCAAAGATGAACCAAATTAGTCACTCTCCCAAAAGACCAAGTTGCCACGAAGTGGCCCCTTTGAAGCTCTTTTCATTGTGGGCATTAATTGTTCTAATTTTGTCATAACATCAGGCAAAACAATATAAACAATTATTTTTTATCATAAAAGAAAAAAGTAGAGAGCAGTGGTATTCTAAAATCCCTTGAATTCTAATTATGTGGTGCAGGGAGAACTTGCAACTATACACAGGAGTCAAATAAATTGGATAAATAAACACCAAAAGAAAAGATAGACAATAACTATTTCCAGGAGCTTTCAAAACTTTTAAGCTCTTGAGAATGACTTTTGGAGTTTGGACCTAGACTTTCACAACACCATCTCCCTACAAAGAAAAAGCTTTGATATTATATTGAAAAAGTAGCCAATTCCTTCATCTATAACCAGACTTACTCAACAAGATTTTTAAAAATGGCCCACTGCTGAAAAGGGAAGCTGGGAATCTACTGAACTCCACTGGAAACAATTCTTTAACTTTTCATTGAGATTTTTTAAATTTTATTTTCCTTTCTTTTTTTCCTGTTTAATTATAACCTTAATGGTGGGTGCATGGATATTTATACATATTCACATTTGTTTTTTCTCACTTCTAGCATTTTTGAAGCCAATTATTTTTCATGGATTAATATTTTAAGGACTAGGATGATTAATTAGTATATTTCAGTTTTGTTTTATATTCTTTTATTATTAAATTTTTACTATATATATATATATATATATATATATGTGTGTGTGTGTGTGTGTGTGTGTATTTATTTATCTTACTTATCTTTGTCCCATGATTCTGTCTCTCTTTTCTGCTAACAGCTAATCTCTACTGTTCTCTTTCACTCTTCCTTTAATTAT